GTCGAGATGTAACGGTCATTCCCATCAACACAAAGTACTCTTCTAAAGTCGGCATCAACTGATAGTCAGGAAAAGTGAAATCATGGTAAAGAGGATCATAGAACTAGACGAGTGTGTCTAGCAGCCCGTCAATCATCTTGAGTATCAAAAACGAAAAGATTCTTCCATATTCATTCGAGAAAGTTAGGCGGTTGTCGATTAGACTTCCTAGTTCCCTTAAGCTCTCAGTTTTTGGACTCTTGAAGGTGTACTTCAATGCTTCTCTTCTTCAAAAATCCATTTTACAATATCTGCAAAACAATTTGGGTTTCTTGAAGGGTTAGAGAAAAACAAAATGCGACGATGCGAATGTGAAAGGTTTCATGGAATTCGGGTATTTATAAACATCGTAGAATACAAAAATAAATTCATTTATTATTTAAATAACAGATTACAAATAAATATTTCTTAAAGAGTCTTAAAGTAACAGCTAAATAAAATCCCTAAGGAAGTCTTGTATTCTGCTCCTTAATCTGCTCTTCTAGCTGGGTCTTCTCAAAGATGAGCTATCTACAATCAGCTCCCAAGGGGTAGTATGAGGGTTAGAGGAAAATAAATCCTCCTGTGCTTTTCTCTTCTTGCAGGGAGATGCCTCTTCATTCTTCAGCTGAAGTTGTTTTCGAAGTTCAGCATTCTCTTCAACAACCACCTGATACTTATTTTTCTGAGCTTCTGACTCCTGTTGTGCTTTACTCAGAGCAATCTTCAATTTTTCTGCTTCAGACATGAAAATTAGAACAGGTTCCCTCTTCAAACGCATAGACTCTTGTCGAGGATAAGTCATCTTCAATTTGACAGCCCTTTCTCTGACCCACTGGAGGTACGATTTCAAAGAAACACAGTTAGGCTTCCCCAAACTTTCTCTCCCCTTTTTATGCAGATGACGCCATGCAACCAAAATCTTCTCTTGAAGTTCCTTGTTGTCTTTGAAGAAAATACTTTCCACATGAACACTCTTGGGTTGATCCTTCAGAGGATATCCTAACTGGCGGCAAGCTAGAATAGGATTGTAACTGATTCCTCCATTAATGCTAAGGAGAGGTACATTGGCAAAGTCTCCACAGCTGTCAATAATTAATATCCCATCATATACACAGTTATACCAATCGATATCCGAGTGGGTCAGAGCCATAACTTTCTGTGACCAATGTCCTTTATTAAGATCCCAAAAGGAGCCAGACTTAGGCAAGTGTGAAATAAACCATTTGAATAATAAAGGTACACAACAAGTAATCATTCCTCCACCATGAAGATTTCTGAGATGAACTGAGTGGTAAGCATCAACTAGTAGAGCGGGTATTGGATTATTCTTCATGAAGGCTTTGATGGCATTAAGATCAACAAATCCTTCAAAACTTAGGAACAAAAACACTCCATAGATAAGTAAGGCGAGGATTTCCTCAAATGCGTTCATGCTTATGTGATCGGTGTAATATTGTGCTTTCTTGATCAGGAAATATGTGGTTAATCTGAAAGTTCCATCTTTAGTAATCATGTTAGCTTTGATATCAGATAACTTCAGATGTATAAATTTAGCAATGTCCTGTTCTTTAGGGTCCTTTTCTAGGAAAGGGAAAGGAGACTCAACCAAAATGGGCAAACCAACCAACTGAGAATACTCTTCTAAAGTAGGCACAAGCTGATAATCTGGGAAAGTAAAGCAGTGATACTTTGGATCATAGAATTGTAGTAGGGTAGAAAGAAGTCCACTATCCACCTGAACCTTCAACAAAGATAAGAGCTTCCCATACTTGTTTTTGAAATTTTCTTGATCTTCAATCAGAGTTCCTAACTTCCTTAGGTCATCCAATTTAAGACTCTTGAAAGAATATTTCAAAGTATTTTTCCTTTTGCAATCCATAATGGTCATGCGATGTTTATAAATAAAACTTTAAATTCAATGAAACCAATGCAATATGATGTTTATGAATGCGAGGATGCACAAACACATATAAGCAGAGATACACACATATATACAAACAAACAGGAAACTTAGGTTTAAAAGCAACGAGCATGGAGTAAGGTTCTACCCATCCCCAAATGGTGTGGACTAAGGGTTCAATGTACCTGCAGAACAAGGGTTCTAGTCATCAGTCCATCTTTCGTATATTATCGATTTCCAAAATACTTGGTAGTTAATAATATTTTCAAGAGAACCTCTTTCGAGTGTAGTATCGCGTATCAACTACTTTGGGATTACTCCTTTATAGTTATCTCACTACGTCCTAAGAAAAGGCGAAGTTGAGTTAAGGGTAACTAAAGGTTCCCAGTATCACAAGCTCCTAGGTCAAAAATAGTAAGTGTTTTCACGAATACTCGTTTAAAAATATCATTCTCAAGAGGGTCTCAATTGAGTGGTGATTCTCAAGTCAGCTTGGTCGGGAATCAACTCCTTATAAGCCTTCTCAAATATATCACTTTCCTATCATAAGTACACTCAAGTCCTGGTGTAGGAATTATCTCACCGCACGAAAGTAACAACCCAAAGCAGAAACATTTATATGCAAATAAACAAAAATATATATATATATATATATATATATATATATATATATATATATATATATATATATATATATATATATATATATATATATATATATATATATATATATATATATATATATATATATATATATATATATATATATATATATATATATATATATATATATATATATATATATATATATATATATATATATATATATATATATATATATATATATATATATATATATATATATATATATATATATATATATATATATATATATATATATATATATATATATATATATATATATATATATATATATATATATATATATATATATATATATATATATATATATATATATATATATATATATATATATATATATATATATATATATATATATATATATATATATATATATATATATATATATATATATATATATATATATATATATATATATATATATATATATATATATATATATATATATATATATATATATATATATATATATATATATATATATATATATATATAACAAAAACACAAATAAGCAAGTTAGGGGAAACCCTCGAAAGCAAGTCCCCAGTGAAGTCACCATTTATGTCGCGGTGAGAGTTGGATATCAAACTATTGATTAACTTGAATCACAAATCATGATTCACCCCCGGTCTTTAATTTTTCCAAGGGAAGGGAAAAAGATCGAATAACCCATGAGTATACAATGTAAAGCAAAGCTAGAGAGTCTAAGGTTCGGGGGTTGGTTATACATAGGGAAGGTGTTAGCATCCTAAGTATATGTAGTACTCTATAGGAACCTCTTGTTTTAATTGTGTTATTGTTGTTTTCTAAGGGTGAAAGACCTAGGGGTTTATTTCTAAGTATGCTCGACAAGACATCGCATCTCGTGCCTACGTATCCTGACGGGAATGGAATCAAAGTAGTTCCCCTAAAGGGATGAGGAACCATTGACTGTGGTCAAAGTTCCAAGAGGAATAAGGTTGTTTGATTGATTCTAGGAAAAGAGGAGAGTCATCATCTTAGGGAGAATACTCGACTTATCCACCACAAATGTGTAGAAGACGGTCTTTGCGTCGTATTGAAAGAAGGGCTCCAACTCGGATATATAATCGACGAGTATGCCACATATCTCTATCAAGCGAAAAGATGCTACCTCTTTCTTGATTATGTTATGGGGTAGGAGAATTATCTCGACCACACAGATGAATCACACCTAATTCTCTTGTTGGGAGAATAGGGGATTTAATTGTAAGTTGTCTAATTTGAAATCTTAAGGGTACTTATCTTAAGGTATAAGGGTGACCTAAGCTGATCGACCTGAAGATCAAGGATCAAGCGGGGGGATGATGTAAATGAAAATGCAATGTATACAACTTATAAAGTCATATATAAGTTCTTCTCTTGGACATTAGTATGCAAATCATATTATTAGAGGAATGCAGATAAAAGCGTTGAATATTAAAGCTGAAAACATGATTGAATACGTAACACTTGAGGCATGCAATATAATGTCCAACCAACTTGTAAAGCAAGATATCATAATATACATCAAGTCAAGCGCAAATGAAAGCTAAGAGTTCAGAAGCAAAGAGGCGTGATATAACTCAAGAAAAATTAGCACAAATATTTGATTAAAAAAATCAGCATAATCACTAAAAATTCGAGGAAGATGATGATTATAAGTATATGATTAAAAATTTTAATAAAATAATTATAAAAGGAACACAATTCTAAAATTTATTAATACTTTAAAAGAAATAAAAAAAAACCAATTTTATTGAATTATAAAATAATTAAATAGGTTAAGTAGTATTGAAAATAAACATTTAAAATTAATCAAAAGTATTTCTTACTTTTTAAGAAAAAAAGAAAAAATATTTTATTATATTAAATTAAAATTAAATAAACTAAGGAATAAAAACAAAATAAAAACAAAAATGATCAAAGTCTAATCTCCTCTGTCCGATCAGATGGGTCAACTGCATGACTCAAATCAACGGTTTTGAGCGAGGGTACACGGAAAAATGTGTAGGCATGTGTGCATAGGATCAAGTCAAAGACATAAGTACAACAGCAAAAGACCATCCTCACTCAACTCTCAACCCTCTCACGCACGCATACCTTCGGAAAAAGATATCTCTGTCGTGCCGGAAATCTCCTTCGGCGGCGGCGGAGGGAAAAACTACGCAAACCCTAAACCAAACCGATCGCCTTCATCTCCCCTTTGATACCTCACTGAATATTCAAATCGGAGCGAACCAACACATGAACCCTAAGCGTTATCTAGCAAATTAAACTAGCAAATAGTGGAATCGAGACCTAGCGCGTGAGGGCTCTGGTTTCACAATCACTATATTACATGGCGGTAACTGAAATGAGGAAAAGCAGAGGACAAATTTTACCTACGAGGACGAGATTCTCCTCGGTGATCCTTAAATCACGCGGGTGATGAAGGCGGACAAAGAACGACCAACAACCTTCGATACTGGTACAGATTTCTTTCCAGTTTCTCAAACTCTTCTAATTCATTTCCTCTTCGTCCCTTCTTAGCATGATTCTTTTCTGCTTCGTCTGGTCCCCTTTTTCTGTGTGATGATACCCTCCTTTTTATATTCCATAGAGTTGATTCTTGATTGAATGTGAGATATACTCTTTGAATGTTGAGATTGTCCATATTTCGGAAGGAGATTTTTCCTCTTAAACTTGCTGATTTATCTTGCCTATTATGATCTTCCATGATTGACGTGTGATAAGTCTGTTTATTTTGGTCTGATTGTGTTTGTGAATGTTTTTGGAAAGGGTTGATATGTCTGATAATACTTGAATGATGTGTTTTCTCTTTATTGAAGAAAAAAAACGGTCATGTATTAATCATGTCTGGGATCATTATATGAGAATTTGAATTTGGAATGTTTGATTTGTGGCGTGTGAATTATTCCCTGCCACACTTATTTTTCCAATTCCTGTACGTATGCATTTGATTTTGAAGGAAAGAAGTTGTGACTTATGACTTGATTTCTTTGTCGTGTTTTAAATTTCTTACTTGATGGATGCTTTAAGACTTACCATTTTCGCTCTAATCACGTGATTTCTTGCCATTCTTGATGGTGACTGTTTCTTTCGCGACCTTGGAGTTGGCTTATGAGTTTGGTCGTAGTCAATCCCACTAGTGGTCCTTGATGTGAAGAGGCTTTGGCACTATTGTATCCCTCTATCGAAGAGAGTCATCCATAAATCCATGCTCTCTTGCAGAAATCTTTATGGTAAGTGCGTCGTATTCCCTTCTCAATGCGTTATGTGAAACTTGTGCTTATTTATTCTTCCATTTTCAGGTTTATTGGCAGCATCCCGTCGTTTCAGCAAGTTGTGCACATCCACCGAATAGAGAACATGAGTTGAATGAATTATCGAGTTGGACACGTCGAACTTTATTCCTTGCATGAAGCAGTTCTAATATGGTGACATAATTGATGCACAATTCGTAGTGGGCAATGTTCTTACGAGATGCGGTAAGTTGCAAGTCTAACGAGTTGATTTTCTGAGAACTTGTCTTGCTGGAATTTTCCATCACGCAGTAGATAGCCGTGAGAAGCATGCTCTGAGTTTAAAATGAGCTCTATTTTATGGTTTATCTTACTGAAAGATATTTCTTTAGTAGGCTTTAAGGTGATTGAGTAAATGGATAAGCTTATGGATGGTCATGATTTTGGGCATGGAAAGCATGCAAATTTGTAGTTTATGATAACTTTTAATGTATTATGATGCATCTGCCTTGGATCCTTACTTGTAGTATCACATTTTGTCTTTGAATGATCATGACCTTTTGAAGTAATTTCCTGTATTTGGCTCTTAACTCTGGCCACCCTCTTTTTTAGTAGGTTTAGGGAGAAGGTAGTTCGTGCTTTCTACAGCAAGTTGATATTTGGGCTTTCAGTTCATCGCGTAATCACGTATTCCTTCGTCGGGATACACTTCATTTGGAATAGCTTCTAGAGCACAGAGATTTTTAATATGTGAATTCCTTGTGATTTGCAAATCCTATTTGTAAATCCATAATTGAATCTTGACTTTTGAAATAATGGAAAGGAATTTGAAACCCTTTTTCTTTTTTGTGTACATTGTATTTTGCTTTGGACACAAATCTCTTTTTGACTTGAATAACATGAACTTGATATGCTTTATAATTTTAATTCTTGTATGGTGAGATAATATGAATTCCCAAGTAATGAATCCTTATGTCTTTTGAATTCCTTTGGAATCCATTTTGGCTTACACATTCTCGAGGAAAAAAATGAATTTGAATGCTTTTGAATCCAATGATGATTTGAATTTAAACTTCCGAAGGAATTGCATTCCGAATTGCATATTGTTTTGGTTTTGAGATGGATTCTTGATGTGTCATATCTTAAATTTGTCCTACTCGTATATAAATTTTTATCCGTACATTTATTTCAGAAAATTCAAAAAAAGTATAATATTTTGTTTTTAGTTATTATAACGATTGAGGTCCTTAGTCAGACAAGCTCTATTTCAAGATCAAAATTTTGGTGTGCAGTTCAAATGATGTGTATTCAGGGTGACAGTTAGGGTTGGTTTGTCAAGTTAGATCAATTGTGTGTGAGTCAGGCTGTCAGGTTGAGATAAGTGCAGATGTTTCATACTTGAGGATCATCAGAGTTCAGTATAATGGTAATTAGGGTTTGGATAAGTCCAATTCATAATTTCAAGTCATGTTCCTTATTTCATGGATCTATTTGCTGTTCAAGACTCAAGCTCATTCAAAATCAAATTTGATTAGGGGATTGATTCGTGGAATTGATTCAAGGTTTTAGTTCACAACCAGAGATGTTGGGAATTTGGACAGTATGATTGTTGGGATAAATCCACATGGAAATTCAAAGGCATGCTATTATGAGCCATCATGTTTTCGGACGAGTTCAAAGTTGCACAATAATTCAAACCGAAACTTGATCCAAGGATGTAAAGCCCATCATTTTTATTGTTATTTTTTAGATTCAACAAGAAATATTGAAGCTACATAAATAGTCCACGTATACTTGTAGTCCAAGATAATATTACAAAATCAAAAAACATATGCAGCAAGCATTACAATCCAAATTTACAAGTGTAAAAACAAAGCCTTTTCTTTTATTATTATTTCTGTCGTACACCATGAAGTGCCTATTACACAACAAGGAGCTAATATTGCACCAAGTCCTCACACCAATCAGAACTTCAGCTCCAGCAATTAGAGGTAGTTCGTAGCGGCATGACCCATCATCGGCCAAAAACAAATGTGGTTTTCCATACAATACAAGCAGTGGTCCTACAATTCAGCAGCAGTAAAAAAGCCACACCAAAGTTCGACGGATTATTCACCACACGCCAAGTAAATTCCCGAATACAGCGCTTAAAAACTGGCGTGAGTTTTCCATTTTCACAGGGCTTGGTTTCTAATTACCGCGCACGAGGATTCTGCGAAATCACAAAAGAAAGGTCAGCATAAAGTATCATGAGGAGAAGTTCATTTATTACCAATTAGAATCCAAAGAGTAGCACAGGTAGTTAGTTCCAAGACAGGATTCTATTGTCAATTTGGATTTAAGTAAAGCATTACAAGATAATAAAATTTTAAAATGCTGCTCCAAGACCAAGCCTGGATTTCATCTCGTCGTCGTGTCACATTCGTTACCGGCGGACAAAACAAGATGACAATTTATATGGCTGAGTATTTGGTTCCCACATATCATTGTCAAATGCTAACCGATGTTGCACAATTGATAAAACATCAATACAAATTGCAAAAGGGCACACTACAAAACAAAACAAACAGTCAACAAAAGGACAATAGCAGACTTGTTGTGTCTTGGTGCAAACCTGCTACAACCAGTTGAAATCCCACACCAGACCAAATTCTGCATTGTTCTGCTACCAAACAAGACCAATGCATTAACTTGCTTTGAAATGCATCACAGACTACTCTGCACAACCTGCATCGACCAACAACACCAAGCAACAAAGACCTGCATTGAAATAGACATCTTGCACTTGAAAATGACACAACAATGGGGATCCACGAAAAAGGGAGAGCTTCTCTCACCACAAAAATCCTTCTATCAAGACTTACTCCTCCACGGTTTTCCTCAGAAAAAGCATTGAAACCGAGATGCCATTTTTCGTTTTCAGATCCTCTTGACAAACTCTCTCCCTAAACCTGAAATCTCAAAAACTCTTTTTTGCTCTTAAACCTTGACTTCCTTCTAACAACTTTGGAGACCTACTTCTCAAACCATTCATAAACCCTTTTTAGCCTTCAAAAGGGGAGGCCTTTCACTTAAAATTTCTCTTCTTCTTCAGCTCTTAAGTTTTTGAACACAAAAAACCTTCAGATCCCTTGATAGAACCTTCAAACCAACCTTAGTTGAGCTCTATTTCTCAAACCACCAACAACTCAAGACCTAACTCTAAATCCCCAATCCATTTCTGATTCCTTAAATCGACAATACAACTGCAAATCGCACTCAAACCTTCTTCAAAAATAAAACCATCCTCACTTCTTCAACCAACAACAAACCTTCAAACGAAAAATGATTCCTTCGTAAATACCCTCCAACCTCAACCAAATCGCAACCCTTACCTCCAACCTTCAACTATCTCTTCTATTTCCTTCAAACAAAACACCTTTAACATAACCTGCAGAAATTTCCTTCCAACACAACAAACAACAAATCCCTCAACACCTCACTCAACCCATCTCAATCGAAAAACCTCTTTCTTCCAACTTCAACAAACCAAACAACCCTGTTCAAATTCAAACTCCAAATCTCGCCGTGACTCGTTAGATACCATCACCATTCCACAACCAAATCACTCACCCTGTTCTTCTTCAAACGAACCATAAGAAGCCTCTTCGTATCCCTTCTTCTCAACCACTCTGAAAACCCCAAATCCTTAATTCAAATCCACGACCTCCAAATCCCTAAATCAAAGAAAAAACTCAACCTTCATTCTGAAAAGGAAATCGCAAAAACTCACCGCCCTTCACCAATCTTCAATCTTTCCCAAACCCTCAATCCCTTTTGTTCAACCAGAGCTGAATGAAGGAGATAAATTTGATTTGAGACCCAAATCGGAAGAAACGGAAGCAAGAGTGATTGAAGACCAAATTGAAGCAATAAGGAGAGGAGTGAGAAGTGAAATCATGAAATAGTGAATCTGACAAATCGAGGGTTGAAGCGAAAGGTTTGCAATCGGTGAAACGCAACAGGCGAAAGTTTGTTGTTCGTTTTTTTTTTCAAAGTGGTTTTTTTTTGTTTTGTTTCGTGTTGATTGGTAATGAACAGACTATGTGTTGTTTGATCCTGGGCCGATGGGCCTATGTCCTTCACCATCTTTCTTTTTTTTTCTTAAAAAAAATCTGTTGGATTTGTGTGTACCTAGGTTGCTAATACACTACCTTTTTAATGTTATACCCCCATTCTGTTTTGGATGTTCAAAGGGTGGATGATGGGCTTTCTCAGCCCATATGATTCTACCTAGTTCCCTTCCTTTTCTATTTCTCACCCCCTGTTCTTTAAAATAATTTTTAATATAAAGTTTCATAAATGTTTTTTTTTCTTTCTTAAAATAATTTTGATAACTCCTTTTTATGTATATTCTTATTTTGTTAATATTTTCAATTAGTGTTGTAAGTTTTCTTTAGTAAATAATTTTGGGGGCATACTTTTGATTATATTT